CGGTGCAGACGGAATTTACTACCAATGTGTCCTCGCAAGATACAGCAGCATGTCTATTGAAGTGTCCAGAAAGCGCAGTCGGAATCAAGCTCAATATCCCGCTCGACGGGCAAGACGTTTCGAAACTGTCAGTCCTATTGTTGACCGGCGATGGTCGAATGGCGTTTAGATTCGGATTCTACAAATTTTTCTGCATTTTTGGTGTATTTCTGTGATAAAGATTTGAATACTGAAAAAATACTTAGCACTTCCCTGAGCACGTTCTGACAAGGAGCACTGTGACTGAACAAGAGGTCTATTTTAACATTATGATATTCAAAAGTACTACAGTAGTACTACAAGTAGATACTATGCGTTCGCCCATGGTGAATTTTGAAAACAGCACGGGGATAAGCATGCTCTCGACTTCAAGATGAAAGCGCCTACACTCGAGAAGATGATTCATCGCATGATTGACCTCGTTGAGCCAGTCCAACCAGTTACCATGACGCAACAGATTGAACGCGGCCGCACCTTTTCCAACTTCCCATCAGCGCTGTACTGTACCGACGTCAAGTTCCAGCCCTCTTACCGCCCCACTGGACGATTTGATGAAGCCAAACACTATTACTCCGGCAAGCACAAGCTTTATGGCTTGAAGCTTGAATACTCTGTGGCGTATCCTGGTGTGGCTGTCGACTTGTCCAAGCATGTACCTGGTTCTGTGTCAGACATCACGATATTCTTGTCAAGAACAGGACACACACATTGCCATGCTTTGCAAGACCGCTGACGAGATGGACCTACCTGACCGCTTTGAAGGGATCGAGCGCTGGCCTTCTTCGTGGAGCGTACTCGTCGACATGGGCTACCAAGGAATCCAGCATGAGTTCCGATCGATGCAACCAAAGCGCAGACCTCAAGGAGGTGTACTTACTGCTCGTGAGCTGGATCGCAACTCCAAGGTGTCCTCTGACCGTGTTCTCGTTGAGAACTACTTTGGCCGGATGTGCAATCTGTGGAAGATCATGTCGTCTACGTACAAGTGGAATGAGTCGAGATTCGATCGTGTTGCTCGACTGTGCTGTGCACTTACAAATGCTCACGTTGCCTGGATGCCCTTGCACGGTGCAGACGGAATTCGTTGAGCCCGTCTTGTACGGCCACTACGTCCAACCACTTACCATGACGCAACAGATTGAACGCGGTCGCACCTTTTCCAACTTCCCATCAGCGCTGTACTGTACCGACGTCTAGTTCCAGCCCTCGTACCGCCCTACTGGACGATTTGATGAAGCCAAACACTATTACTCCGGCAAGCACAAGCTTTATGTCTTGAAGCTTCAATGCTCTGTGGCGTATCCTGGTGTGGCTGTCAACTTGTCCATGCATGTACCTGGTTCTGTGTCAGACATCACGATATTCTTGTCAAGAAAGGACACACACACTGACATGCTTTGCAAGACCGCTGACGAGATGGACCTACCCGACCGCAATGAAGGTATCGAGCGCTGACCTTCTTCGTGGAGCGTACTCGTCGACATGGGCTACCAAGGAATCCAGCATGAGTTCCGATCGAT